TCATTTTGTAATTTTAAAACGACAAATGAAAACTCTCCTTATATTCAGGTTTTTCCTGTAAATTTTACAGGAAGTCAAGCAGATTTTAGGCCGGCATAAGCAATATTATTTTACACAATGAAATCGCCGAAATATAGATTTGTGTATATAAATCAATGTTGAGATTGTAGATTTAGGAACAAAATAAACATTTATTCTGAAACTGTTTCTCGAACCCGTTGTCAGCTTCCCAGCTTCCAAATGTATGAGCTTAGTTGTCACTGGCAACTACACCGCTGCGGCTAACAGTACGAGTTACTTAAAAAAAGTTACACTAAAATTTGATCTCCATAAATTCCTGATTAGTCCATAAACGCGTTTTGTTTTTTAATCGAATTGTACCTACACAATTTAAACTGTCACTTGTTAACCATGGTGAGAATTGCTTTAACTTAGACTTGCATTGTTATATGACTGTGTTGAAGGGTATGCGTTCCAAAGTGATTGTTCTACTTATATAGTACTATTTATTTTCATTTTATTTAATCCTTATAATAAATGTTAACGGACGGTATAGTTTGTTAAATATTTGTTCTACTTTGACTTTTTTGTGTAAATTTGTGTTAATATTTTTTATGACAACGTTTTTCTCAGGGAAGTTTAGACAAAAAATACAAAATTAATGTTATCCTTTTTATCAAGGTTTAACATCCTTAATTTTGTCACTTACAATTCCATTGGTTACAAACGCTACTCCGAAAACTTCCTGCCCATAAAAAGCATGACGCTCTAGGACGCACTGGCTCCATAGACTGTATTGACATTAATCAAGTTAGACGTAAAGATTGCAATAGATAAATAATAGAGAAAATAGCCCGATTAGCTAGTAGTATTTGGTTTTAATCTAAGCTTTTCTCAAATAGTGCACGTAGCTTTAATCTGAAGTGGTTCAGTTATGCGGACATTTTATCAATTATAATGGAAAATTAAATAAGATCAACCATGTAAATTTTTCAATGAAATACAAGTAAAATTAAATAGTAGCAAGGAAATTTAAATAGAGGTCACACATTATTCATTCCGATTTCTTATCCTAAATAAAACAGTGCATAATCTTACCATTTGTCGATTATGTAAATAGAAAATAATAAGGCGTTATTTCAAAGGTTTTGACGAGTTGCGACATCACATATAATTCAGAAGAAACTGACGAAGACTTTGTGCTTCTAAAACAACAAACCAACAAAACAGGGGCGGAAGCTTTAATCACTATTAGGGAATTCCTGATCTTTGATCAAGTGGCAATATATCATTATTTCTAGCTATCTTACACCTAGGGACAAAACATTCCGTTTATCTATATTACATTCAGGGACAAAGCATTCTGTTTATTTATCTTACATGCAGGGTCAAAGAATTCTGTTTATCTATCATACATGCAGGGACAAAGCATTCTGTTTATCTTTTTTACATGCAGGGACAAATCATTCTGTTTATATATCTTACATACAGGAACACAACATTCTGTTAATCTATCTTACATGCAGGGACAAAGCATTCTGTTTATCTATATTACATTCAGGGACAAAGCATTTGGTTTATTTATCATACATGCAGGGTCAAAGAATTCTGTTTATCTATTTTACATGCAGGGACAAATCATTCTGTTTATATATCTTACATACAGGAACACAACATTCTGTTAATCTATCTTACATGCAGGGACAAAGCATTCTGTTTATCTATTTTACATGCAGGGACAAATCATTCTGTTTATATATCTTACATACAGGAACACAACATTCTGTTAATCTATCTTACATGCAGGGACAAAGCATTCTGTTTATCTATATTACATTCAGGGACAAAGCATTCTGTTTATTTATCTTACATGCAGGGTCAAAGAATTCTGTTTATCTATTTTACATGCAGGGACAAAGCATTCTGTTTATCTATATTACATTCAGGGACAAATCATTCTGTTTATCTATCTAACATGCAGGGACAAAGCATTCTGTTTATCTATTTTACATGCAGGGACAAATCATTCTGTTTATATATCTTACACACAGAAACACAGCATTCTGTTTATCTATTTTACATGCAGGGACAAAGCATTCAGATTATCTGTTTTACATGCAGGGACAAAGCATTCTGTTTATCTATCTGACATGCAGGGACAAAGCATTCTATTTGTCTATCTGACATGCATGGATAAAGCATTCTGTTTACCTCTCTTACGTGCAGGGACAAAGCATTCTGTAACATGCAGGGACAAAGCATTCTGATTATCTATATAACATGCAGGGAAAAATCATTCTGTTTATTTTTCTTACATGCAGGGACAAAGCATTCAGTTTATCTATCTTACATGCAGGGCCAAATCATTTTGTTTATATATCTTACATGCAGGGACAAATAAAATTCAGTTTATCTATCTTTCATGCAGGGACAAAGTACTTTGGTCATCTATATTACATGCAGGGACAAAGCATTCTGTTTATCTATCTTACATGCAGGGACAAAGCATTCAGTTTATCTATCTTACATGCAGGGACAAACCATTCTGTTTATATATCTTACATGCAGGGACAAAGCCTTCAGTTTATCTATCTTACATGCAGGGACAAAGCTTTCTGTCTATATATCTTACATGAAGGGACAAATCATTCTGTTCATATATCTGACATGCTGGGACAAATAAAATTCAGTTTATCTATCTTTTATGCAGGGACAAAGTACTTTGGTAATGGTCATTAGGCTGTACTTCTTTCTACATATTTACACAATATTTTATGTCGATAGAAATAAAGCCCAACACGGCAAAATTGAAAATGTTGCAGGCTCGGTTTGATTGAGCCTGTTAATGGACGGTACTGTCAAGTGCAAACTACCGTCCACGCCCCCTATGTGTTTTATTTATTTCGTCTTATGTAACCATGACCATTGTTAGAATTTCACTTGGCAGGGATTAATTTTATTTAATTTAGGAACATATTGGGGCTAAGAGTGAGGTTTTGCGCGCCTAAAACCGGTTTAAACTCCCAAGTGGTTTAACTACCACTGGCCGTTCCAAGGCGGTACCCCTCTGTGTTCCTTCACGTGTTTTTCATGTCTGTATTGTTACTTGTTTTTGAATGTTTACATGTTTTGTGATGTCTGCCTTGTTGGATTGTCGTTTACGGTAGGTATTTTCTCACCCCTCCAATCCCTTACAGCACTTACCTCTTTAATTCCCGTTTTAGTTTATATTGTTTCTTGCATTGCATGTCCCTCTCCTTTCGCCACCCGTATGTCCACACCCGGTTTTGGTTAGGTCCCTTCTGGGCGCCCTGCTTGAGTGTGTCACGGGCTTCGTCCTGTGAACGTTGCCTTTGTCTTGTTGATTTTTAATCTTGTTTTTTACATGCAGGGACAAAGCATTTTGATTATCTATTTTACATGCAGGACAAAGCATTCAGTTTGTCTGTCTTACATCAAGGGACAAAGCATTCTGATTATCTATTTTATATGCAGGGACAAAGCATTCAGTTTATCTATCTGACATGCAGGGACAAAGTATATGGTAAACTTGTTTGATGAAGTATTGTATATAACTAATCAGCAGCTGACCTTTTGAATTGTTTTTCCACCCTCTAATATAAAACCCGTTTGTCGATTCGCAAGGACAAGCCTAATTCGCCAATGACACATATATAAATAAATTTGTAGCTTAAACAATATTTATTTAAAGAAGACACTGTTACTTTAATCAGAATCTAAAATATACAGATTTTTTTTCAATAAACATACATAATTATCGTATAAAACATGCTGTTAAAGAACATTTATGTTTACACGCAATTTTCCCAAATGTTTTCAAGTTCAGTCACAGTTTAAAACAGGTGTGTTTAATTTAATTTTAATTTTTTTATAAGTTCAGAGAAGAAGTATTACGCAAGTACACATTAATTTCAGCCGCATACTATACGCACACTGAGTAAATAACAAATAGTGGAGACTATTTACAATAGTTTGTATTCGATAGGTGTCTTTATAAAAACAGTGATACGGAGCGGATTACTTCGTTCAAACTCACTCCTTTTTGAAACTGGTATTTTTATGTTTATTTCCGGTAAACATTCATTGCATCCTCATGTGGTTATTTTGTTTCTTGTTGTATGATTTGTTTCTTTGCTCATTGATTGGATATTGAGTCCATATTAGATTTCGTATACGGTTTGTTATAGCGTTTCACAAAAAGATGATCACTCATATTTTTCTTTATTTTGCTACTTATTAACCGGTCTATGTATATACACAATTGTACCAACAGTATTCCTCTGTTGTTTTTATAATAAAAGTATGATTGTGTCCTATATAGTTCAAATTCAGATTATTGTATTCAACTATTGTCGTTCCCCGTTTATGTGTTTAGTACTTGTTTATTTATTATCATAATTTTACAATAAAATTTTAAAGGAGATGCTGGTCTTGACAGCACTTAATGTTTACGAGTGAAGAATGCCACTTCGAATTTGTATAGGAATATGGATTGCTGTTGTCTTCTTCCATTAAAGAAACGTCAAACCTTTTTTTAAATAGTGTCACATTATATCAAATGAATATTTCTATAACATGTATAGGCAGTCAAATTATGTTGTTGACAAAGCATGTCTTTGTTATTTATCACACATGAATAGTATACGTGAACAGAATTAAATGTTTCAAGCAAACTAGTATGCTGCTATTTTAGTAGTGTTGTAACCGTTCAGCGTGAGCATGCGCATTTTGCTTGTTGTTTAGGACAAGGTTTTTTTTCAGAATTTGATACAGGATATATAGTATTATACACTTAAAGAATGATAATAGAAACGTTTACATATAAAGGTTAAATTTATAAAGGGATCAAATAAAATATTTTCTTTTTCTTAATTGTAAGTGTATAACGTACATATACTTCCATCACATAGTATGAAAAATAAAATAAAAACAAGTTGATATATATAATAAGAATTTATTACATTGTGGCTAAAAAAAAACACTGTAAAAGAATTATAATAAATTACCTGAATAGCTGATGCCCATTTGGAATAATAATTTATACGTGAAATGTAAAGATTATAGGACGGAGTTATAACGAGATTTTTAGACAAATAAAACAAAGCTTAAACATAATGCATATTTAAAGATGTAGATACTGTTATCGAAATAGAATATTCAAGATGTAGATAGTGCAGTCAAAATGTTACTCTTTGTTTCTGAACTTTTTCATAGCTGTCATTTCATATGTCAATTTTCTCATTTCATTTTTCTTTTTTATTTCTATATTCCTATACTCGACTCAAATTTTTTTCCAGATGTTCTTAAATCTTTACTAATTGAGATTCATATTTGTTTTGTTTCTAGTTATTATCTAGTTCTCTGAAACTACTCTCGTGTTTGGAGACTCGGTGTCCTTTTTAGGTAAAACAGGTGTACATCCAATGGCAACAGTTTCATAGGTTCTTTCATAAAGAAAGCTGTTTCTTTCGTCACAAATTGTATTTCCATTTTCGTCATATTTCTGTTTTAACACCTTGTATCTGTACGGTATTTCTGTACACTGAGGTGTCAATAACTTTTCTGCTCGTTTACTATTACACGTTCTTCTGCATTTCCTACTATGGCTCTTCCCTTTACAATTACATTTCCTTCGATTCGATTGTAAATACCGAACTTTACTGCATGTACATTTAGCTGTGTTAATGATTGGAGGGTATCTGTTTAGATCGTGACTTAAAAGAAAGTGATACGGACATAATGACCTGTCGTTTAGATTATCGCTATTATGTTTCAAAGTCCGTGAACACCTTCGATTTCCAAACGAGTGTGTTAAATTACCCCTCATTTCTCTAGCGTGTTTGTCCTGCAAACCAATCTGTTTGAAGATGCCGGGTAGTAACTGGAAAGAAGGATGGATTGCAGTTTCAGCTAACCACTCTATGTATTGTTCGCGTAGATTTCTCGGAAGGGTCGAGTCATTGTTACATGAATGTGCAAATATCAACTTCACGAATACTAGACCCTGAAAACAAAAGGAAAAAAATCATTGAAAATAAGAAGAATATAAAATCAAGCTATTTTTATAGTAGTTTTGTAGTGAAAAGATGATCATTGATTTATATTCAATGTTAAGTAAAACTAAACAAATGTGATAATGAGCTTCAAAATAGCCCGTTCTTTTATTAGAAAAAAAACATTTAAAAATGATTTACATGAAAGCACTACCAATCCGTTATATATTTGCATGTTAAATTATGGTCTTTGTGTGCTTACAATTTGTGAACATATTAATTGACAAATATTATTTTGTTATTATAAAGATGTAATAAATATCTGAATAAAAATATCATACCATAAACACTAGTGGCCACAGCATATTTTTGTTTTAATTTTCGCATTAATTGATAACCTTGGTTGCTTTTCGTTTGAACACAGTGATGTTATATCGGTTACTTTTATGCGTATTTATGACGGGATTCGACGATTTTCCAAATTTCGGACGAAATTACACATGCTTATTCATAAAAAAATACCATAGTAATGTCGCAATATTCATATACATTCGTATAGTAAACATGTTCCGTTGAAATATTAAGAATGTCAAGGGGCATTCACCTGGTTTCTGACTTGTTTGATATCGCGATAATTTGATAAATACATGTTTTATTGGTGTTAAGGAAACTATGTCGTTCATCACTCACTTAAATATAACGACACATTTTAATAGTATAATGTAGGCGTTCCCAATCATGAATTCATTAACTAATGTGCGATCGTGTGGGCAAATAAATGAGCAAATGATGTGAATAAGGAAAACAAATCTGAAATTGTGTGCAGAATACGTTTTATGTTTGTTTTTAAACCGATTGACTAACTAGTTCGTACGAAATATCAATCTAATTGAGTTAAATAATGTTTAATGTAACAATGTAGTAAATAATCATAAACCTTGACCGTTTCATAATTCAAAAAACGAAAGTGTTTTCTTTGGTAATTTTGGATAATACAGATAAGATATCATTAAGGATTACATAACATGTAGAATCTAGTTAATTATACATAGATAAATCTACTCTTGGCGGATGTTAGCTTTAGTGTTACAGAGTTTAAAAAGACCTGCCAGAAAAAAGCCCAAATACATGTATATGATTTTAGAATAGCGCGTATATAGAAGCGATGAAATATACCCAAAAGAAAGAGAAAACATACAAGCAAAGAAGTGAAGGAAACACGTGAAGTCACCATGAAAATAGTACAGTAAGGTAATTTCTTTAGGACATTACAAAATATAATTTTAATCAGCCTCCTTAATTAAGCACTGTGATAAGTCGATTGTAAGTGTACACCGTTACCAGCATATATAATTATAATTAGTTGTTCATTTATTTGTGACTCAGCACTTGAACTAATATTATTCTGTTTTCCTCTGTGTGTGTGTGTTTTTTTTTTAAATAAGTTTTGATAATGTTTAAATATCTTCTCTGACAACATGTCGAATAATCTATGTTCATCATTGCATATTTCTTAAGGCATAGTATGTATGTGTGCCATATGAGATTAACTTTTTAACTGAAATGTATTTCTTTCATTCAGATATTGTATTCAGACTGTGGTATTCGTCATAATACGTCATTGATGGTGAACTTTTAGTTTTTGATAATTGTTATTGGTGTTCAAAAAGTGTGTGTTTAACCGTGTCAGGCACACTTTGCAGTTTAAAGGTTTGAATTTATGTGACTCATCGGTTGATCTACAAAGTAGTTGTATGTGGAAACAATGAAAGACGTGCAGCAAGGCTAACTGTAGCATATTTTTGATTGACTGGCTAAAGTAAAATTATAAAGATAATATCATGATCTGCGGACATTGTTAATGGTGCTGGTTGAATGACAAGCGTTGTTTGGACTTTTTTGTTTTGGGTCCTCCACTGGCTCTTGTTACTGGGTCGGGTGGGGGCTGCGTTCATTGAACGCCGCCTTTCCTTGATGATCTTGTTTATCATATATTATATTTCAAATAAATGTTTGATATAAATTCAAAAAAATGTTTAATCTAAGATATAAATAAAACACTGGGTATATACTTTGGAAAAGAGATATCCATGCAATATATTTTAACTTTCTACTTGTTGACCTTAATACTATTTTACTGTTTAGGTCAAAACCAAAGGAACAAAACATTTTAGTAAAATTACATCTGTTATAGATAAAGTAAATGGGACATTAGAAAATTGATTAAGATATAAAATATATTGTTTAAATTACACATTAACTGTTTTCCTTTGTTGTTTGCTTTTTTACAATACATGAAATAAATAGATCAAAGAAAATATACTTGATGATAGTATATTCATAAATAAAGTTTCTACATGTTTATTTTAAACATAATTTAAGAATGACAATTTAATAGAGATAACCGCCATAGGGAGAAATAGAGAGTGAGCCCAGTAGTAAATAAATTCATTCACATAATTGCCGTGTTTTTATCTTTCATTTAATTCAATAACATATTTGAACAAGATCTCATACGATTCGTTAATCGGAAGGAAGTTAATTTCGGGTTATACTGCATCGATTACATTAAAATACCGTGTTTGAATTCCCCGTTTTTTTATGGATTCATTAAGTTCCGACATGGGTTATCTTAAATATGAGCAAAGGATTAGAAACATTAAATGATATGAATTGCACCACTTTGATTCAACATGAAACGGAGTCTATTTAAAAGTTTGGTATGTATGCATTTGTCTTAGAAACATTATCTTACAGACGAAAGTTTTGGAAACGAAACAATTAAAATCATAATTGACTCTTTCAATGTTTTCAATTTTCAGAATGTCAGTTCAATTTCTTTTTTAGGGAGTTTTAGTTTTGTTTTACAGATTAACGTAAAAAAATGCAAATGTCACAGATATATAACATCAGGGTATAAATGTGATGTACGCGTTCCTGATCAGATGCCATACAGAAAGCTTTTGTCAGAAATTAGTTTACTTTTTATCGCTTGATGTTTTAACTCATTTATCTCTCTTTATAAATGAACACAATGAATATAAAGAGTTAATTACAAAAGGTTAAGGAAACTATTGTCATATTTTAAATATATCTAAAAAAGAACAATTGCTAGTTTACGTAAACGTTTTTATTACTTTAAATTTTCTAAAAAAAAAAATTAAATAAATCTTAACAGGAAACAATCAGTTCTGGATGGAATAAGAGATTTTTAAATTTGGAGTAGAATGAACGATGGATGAATTAATTCGTTAAGGTTTATTCTCAACATCATTTTAAAACTTATTTTTAAATTATATGTCACAGCCTAGGATGGATTACAGACTAAGGGGATAAATATGTGTCGTAATTCTAAATTTTGGCCAAATTGTTATAATTTTGTTTGATAAATACACCATGTAACCATCTTGTTTTTTTTTTGTATTTTTCGACATAAGAATTTCTACCTCGAATATGTATGTTGAATTCAAAAATCCTAAGTACATAGAATACTGTGGGCAACATAAAGCTTTTATTTTCGCTAGCTTAAAGATATTTACTGTTTTAACTTGATTCACACATTACTTAGAGTAGATTATGTTGTCATTCGTAATATTGTTATAAAATATTATATTATTTAAAAGGATAACTTAAGCTTAATGGTATATTATATCAAATCTATATATTTTTAAGAGCAATTATTCGCGTGAAAGTTAAATCACAGTTTTCAAAAAAAAAAATCCGATATTTTTTTTGACAATTTGAAAACAATGGTCGAGATTTCATTCTGGTAATCCAGTATGCTTTATATGCAGGCATCGATGTAAATATATTTAAAACAACTGTTTTATAGCAGGTGGCAAGGTGTTGGTTTCAAAGTAAAGATAAAATTCTATATATCTTTTTTATTTTCTTGAAGGTCTTAGCTTTAGCAGGAACCGGAATAGTGTTTGCAGAATGCATCGAGCCAGAAAACGCTGAAGAAATCAAACTCAACCTACAAAAGATAATTAAAGACACGTATCTGAACTATATGTCATTTTTCAATATCAAGAGCAACTTAGACAGGGTAAAAAGCCAGCTAAACGACACGGATAACTCTACTATTACAACAGATTTCAACCACCGAAGATCACAAACATACATTAGTAGGTTATATGGAGAGCCTAAATGTAAATCAAGACTACGATTTAGAGCACATGAAAACCACTCATCTAATGAAATATCATCATGTCCATGGTATCATATAATAGAATTTGACAGTGATAGGATTCCGTTAACTTTACTTAAAGCACGTTGCACGTGTGTAAACTGCCTCGTGCCAATGAGAAACGGGTACAGACGAGATCGAAACGCTACTAGTGGTTCCTGTAAGGAAGTTAGTTACCATATGCCTGTTATACGAAGACATTGTGTTGGTGGTGAGTTTCAGTATCGTATTGCTATAGAAAACATTCCTGTTGGGTGCACATGTCAAAGGTGTAACCGAAATAAGAAACAAGGAAAGACGACAGCACAAATATGATTGGAAGATTTATCGGGCATTTCATGACAAAGCTTCCTTTAGTCATATAAGCTTTAAGTTAAAAGACAGGGAAGGGCCCACGATAATGTTGTAAAAACTTTTGGCCCAACCCTTTTGTATATTGTGTAATTTTGTTAATGTAAATGAATTGATGTATATTTATATATGCAATAAAATATTATTTAACTAAAGTTAAAAGACAAATATATGCATTATCGTGAAAAAATAATTTTATCTTTAATATGATGAAACTTAAGTTATTATAAAACTGGTGATTTAAAATAACTGATTGCTGAATGACCTACTTGACAGAAAACTGTTGTCGGAGTTAGACTCTCTAGATTATGTCAGTTGATTTATTAATTGATGAAGAAGATTATTTATTTAAGTTTATTTATTTATTTATTTATTTAAGTTATAGATTGCATGACTTGTATTCTTTGTTTGTACTCAATAAAAATGAATCAACAATTCAATCTTTTCACTTTATGGTCAAGACAAAATATGTGTCAAGAGATGTTTAAGAATAAAACAGAGCTACATGATGCAATGTTTTTCTGCCTTTCATCTTGAAAATGCAAATAAATAAGAAACGGGTCTATTACTGTAACACAAGAATTATACGAAAATGTGAGAAAATCTTATGATTTCATTTTACAAGTCTAATAGTGACACAAGAAACAAACTTTAGCGAAAAAAAAGTATGTATATCTAGAATGATATGCTATTGCATAAGCAACAAACTCATAAAGTCATGAGACTAGTGTGATAACAGATAGAATGGGCGAGACTACTGCATTAACTAGTAATTGCTAAAAATTTTATATCAAACTTGATCATATTTTTAGAATTGTAGACGTAGCATAGCCAAAAAGCATTACTTAAAGTAAGTAAAAAATATTTTTATTTTGTTTTAAGTTTCCAACAAATTACAATGCATTTAAAGTTTGAAATACGCGGATGAATATCAGTTTAATCAATGAAAATGCTATTTCTAGCAATGTCGATTACCGAATACTTCAGAGCGTAGTACAAAAATAAATCTGACTATTGGGTAGTTGCATATATACATGTTGGACTGTTTTGGCGAGAAGATTTTCGCTAAATTATTTTAATCAGCATTAAAAGACATGTTTATCGTGAACAAAATACCTCGAAATTAATACGGATTACAAACCTGAAATTGAAATTCCAAATTTAGAATTATTAGATTCTATTCAGGCTTTCTTCGAACAATTTCCCCGTGGTGCAGGGGTTACGCGCTCGTATAGGTTGTGAGAGGTCTGGGGTTCAAAACCCAGTGGATGCAACTTTTTTTCAAGCATCTTTTGTAAGGAAGTAGCCACGATATGCAAGGATAAAGTGTTGCTGTCATAAATAATGAACATAAATGATTTTTGATGCAACTCTTGTCATGCATAATTTCGTATACATGTATCAAACTCAAACTGTTATAGTAAAAAATCTAAACGCAGTCGCTGCGTCGAGGTGCCCTGTAAGATGAATTATAGTATATAGAATTAACGTATACAGGAAAATGCATACATATATACAGTACGATTAAGATTTCAAAGATCAGAAAATATCACAGAGCTTGTAGACCTTTGATTACACCAACTATTGACACGACGTCCTTAAATCAATACAATAACAAGAACAAAGATCAGCAAGGTATAGGCAACGTTCACAGGACGCCGCCCCCGGACACTACCAAGCAGGACACCCAGAAGGCACCAAACAAGCACCCGGAGTGGACACAAGGGCGAGACAAACATGCATTTGTGTTATATCTCTTTGACTCATAATTTATAACTCGTCAATCTCCGTAAAATTTACGAACATGTCAATAATCCCTTTAGATGGACCACAAAATCAAAGCGTTACTTACATTTTCTATGAGATATATTTGTTATTTGAATAAAAATACATCGATAGATATTTATGTTCTAAAGGTTTGATCCGACAATAAAATAGACCCAAACCCCAATCACCACTCCCACTTTAAAGAATGAAGAAGGGCTTGAAGAAGAACGACAAAAAAGGCTCTATTGAGAAGTAAATAATTTAACACTTTAATATATTTCTATGCGGTGTTGAAAACAAGTGTACCTTGTTTCTTATTGTGAATAAAAATATTTATAAAACTTAAATAATTTTCTTGTAATTTTGTTTATGTTTAGCTCGCCTGAACACATATTTTTGTGAAATGATATTGGAGGGCTATATACAAATCTTAGAAGGAAACAAAATAATAAGTTTACATTAATGTAAACAAATTGTGATTATTTATAGGTGGAAATTGAATGTTGTAACATGACCATATTGGTAAGATATTCAACCTTGTCCACATTGAAAAGGTGTTTATATTATTTTATCATCAATTTATAAATCCATGGGATCGCAAATAGTAAATATTAGGGAGACGAAGATTATGCAAAATCATCAGTTACAAAGAAATTTCTGAAAATACACCTAAAGCTCCAATTTCTAACAATTTCACAGAATATATTTCTTCAAAACAACTTAAGCTAAACCTAAACACTTTTCTTGGGAACCGTACTTCTCAAGACAATGATATAAAACAACCAGTGATCACTGATTAGTTAGAATATTTTCTCATCTCGTTGTCATTGAATGTCTCCATCATCAGTTATAAATCAGACTGTAATACATGCATTATAGCAGAATCTTAGATATTCTGTGTGGAAGGCATTACAAGGCATTCATGGATACAAGGATACCACATTCCGTCATATTTTTAAACAGATACTAACAATAATTTGTATAAGTCATGCCTAAGTAACTCAAAACTCTTTCATAATTTTATTATGCATCGACTTACAAATTAGAAACCAATTATTGACATGTTAGTAATCATGCTCCTGTCAAAGAAATATGTGAATATCTGCCATAGTAGCATTGTCCTGTGACGAATCTAAAGCAATATAGAATTAATCGAACCCTTTAGAGGTGCTATTTGCACTAAACAATAATATCATTGTTCATCAACAAAACAAGGTTGACTGAACTGAAACACGGTACAATATAAGATTTGGATCTGGAAAAGTGTACACTCTTCTTATCTCCCGGTACGACAATCAGAACACCACTAATATTCCAGTAAGACCATCAAACCTCTAGCCAAAACATACATTCAAAATGACATTAAAGTCTGTAGTTATAGAGTACAGAAATTATCATTTAAATAATAAATATTAAAATAAACAGGTGTTATAGTAAACGTATTTACATAACTGTCTCCTACAAGTTTGTTTATAAATTTAATTCAGATATTATTCTTGATTGGTAGCTTGAAATTAGACAACAAGGTTTCATGATAAAATATCTGCAAATATTTTGGTTGATAGCATTTTTATAAAGTTTACAGGTTAATAATTTGAATGGGTTTCGATGATTTCAAGATCATTCCAGTATACAAAACATTTAGTCTGTAAGAGTACTGCTTGATTATCAGCTTCGTTTGCAATTCAAACATCAATCGCATCTTTTTGGTCCGATTTTTCCGGTTTTCAAACATAACCAAATCCGTAAAATTATGTCTCCCATTTTAAAGGTCTAACACTACTGTGGGTATCTTTCTGTCGACCAGGAAGCTAAGCTGGTTCAATACTTTATACATATTGCCATTTAAGTGACATATAGTGGGTGTCCTCTACATCAATGTGAGAAACATTTTGCTTCATATATACATGCTACATGAAAGCAAAAATGTACCAGTTCGATAAGTGGACAATTTATCGCCATCTTTCTGCTGCGTGAAACGAGAATTATATATGTATAAATGTAACGTCTTCAATTTTTTCATCGATCAAAACCTTCATATCTGATGCAGAGTAATTCTTTGACTGGTTTCAAAAACGCCCCATTGCAACATACATGTATAAAACATTTTAAAGGAGGATGTAAAACCCTGATGTTTACTTTTAGGCATACAATCGGGTTTTTGGCATTAAGCAGTTGCCAGTAAGCATTTTGCAGTTGACATTGCCAGATAACAGTAGGCTGTCGTTTATGGAATAATATTCCGTAGTTTGAGGAATAATCGAGAACCTAGATCAATCGAGAATCTTAGTGTATATATTACTGCATCTCTGACATTCGATGAATAAAACGTTTCGGTATTACAATTATTATTGTATATATATATATATATATATATATATATATATATATATATATATATATATATATATATATATATATATATATATATATATATATATATATATATATATATATCACATTCTTCCGACGCTCTTATCATATAAATTGTCAGTTTGTTTTGTTGTGTCTGCGTTCTCGTATAAAGGCATTGTACCCGCCAAGCGTTATTTACTTTCACACTGCGATTGTTTCCCTTTATACAATAATGTAGATAAAGGGCACAATTCGATTTAGCTAACTCCTTATGATACTGAAAGAATATAGTTAAATGTAGGTAGGTAGGATTACTTGAAAGTACAAAAATTCTCTAACGTACAATTTATTATATAAAATAAACATCATTAGCGATGTAACCGGGAACATTCTTCACTTTCAGACTTACAGAACATGTGGTTTATTACTTTTGATTTCTTTTATTTCCCTGTATTTTTAAATCGTTCTGCCATATTTGGAATAATATTTTACATACTTAAATGTTCTTCTGAACTTGTATAAACAATCTTGTTGAATGAAACTAATCTATTACATAGACGTTTGGATATACATGTATAAGGTATAAAATATGCCTCATTAAATAAAAAAAAATAATTGACTAAACTCTATTTAGCCTTTTTAACATTATATTGAAAATGCACAGGCATAATACGGCACTGCGTTAAAAAAAGCATTTTTAGTAGAAAGGTTTACAATGCGATATTTTCCATTAATATTTCAATTATTGATAAAAACAATAGAAATGAATAATTTGGATATTCTTATAAATTGTTGTTTGAAAAAAAATTGATAAGTTGTAAGTGATTTAGAATGAAAATGTAACTGGAGAATTATAAAATTTTGTTCTATTACACTTTTATTTCTGCCCTATAATTATATATAATATTAGATCAGGTATCTCACACTTGCCATGAATAATTCTGTCGTGGTGTGTTATAATTGTTATGTCAGATACTAAATACTTACTTATTCATTGCATTACAGACCTTCCATTTCACTTTGAACATTTTAAGGGAAACCCAGTTTGCTTATAATGTTTCTGTTATCATTTTCTAAGGTCATGCAAAGTTTAAACAAATTCTATGATGTTGTTTTCATTCTGCTATAATTATGCATATATGTAACCCTACCACTTTTTGAAAATTTTGTCAAAAACAGATTTCACAATTTAAAAGCTAGGCACATGAACATTTGACACCGGATAGCTAAGGTCTTCTCCAAAACTAGAAATATGGTTTATTTCCGATTATGTCGACACTTGTGTGAAAGGGGTTACCAAACTTTCCTAAATTGTCCTCAGTACAATATCATCACGTATGGTAAACACGGAGCTAACTCTGGTAAATTGCTCTGCCAAATTTAGTGTCAACAAATGTACAATGCTTATTATACATTTTTGTAAATTCTGCATCGTATATACAAAGGGAGTAATTCTATACTATGTATTTTTACAAAACGTGAAGTGAATGGTTTTTGTAAGAACGGTTATTGTGGTGGAGTTTCCCATGTAGCGGATTTAGCGTTGGAATGAACTGTTTCATCATGAAAGAAAAGCTATTGCCTCATATTTCATAACCTTTAGGAAAGTTTAAAATTAACTTGATTAATTAATTAATGAGGAACAACAAAATCAATCGTTTATATTACGGGGCCGTCCAGGTTTGATGATCATCCAGTTTTGTTGTCACTTACCATTATCATTATATATTAGCATGAATGAATAAAACAACAGCCAACTTGCTTTGAGAACGTTTATTTCAGCTGCCATGTTTATTAAATAAAAAATTACAAAAACAAAACATGTAAATAATAATCTTATCTATAAATTAATATGTATATAATGAAAGACATATGGTATCTTAAGATAAATGTATACATATTACATAATGAACCCATTGTACATAGTCATATAAATTAACAATTAAATAAATATCAAATACTAGTCATTGAGCTGAAAGTTAACACTAAATGCTTGAATGGAAGTGAACACTGTATGAACTGTGTCATCACAAAATATACGTACAGTAATTGAAATGACAATTTATTTCAATAAAACCTTCATCTTCAAGTATATGGTAAACAAGGGCATTTTGTTCACAGACGTAAAGTAGTATCACAGCAAAAAACGATTTAAATGTTTTCAATATGTTATAACATGACTTTTTCTTCGGCTGCGCAAACTTTTAAGCCTTAACCTAATGGAACCAAAAGTGTTGAGCCTTTGCCACCAGTACAAAGCTAGGCCAGGCTCTATACTGTTGACAGCTCATTCTTTTTGTATTTTGATATTGAAATCCCTTTAAATCTATAGTAACTTTTCAACTTTAACGCTCGACAAATCCATTTTAGAAATATAGAGCTCAATCGTAAACGCATCCACTTCCTCAATTTAATAAGAACTTAATGTAAACACCTGTGCGAAATAAAATGTGGGCGGTAACTTGTGATATAAACTTTGATATATTAACACTAATCTATAATCTACGTAATCAATCTATAGGTCATGACCTTTTAAAAATGCGGAAGTTGAAATTGAACGATATACGATAAAGAGCAAAACCTGTTCTCTCGAAATAGATGTAATTCAAACATAATTCGTATATTTATCATTGTAAATGTTTTAGTCAATATTGATAATACAAACAAATGCTTCATAATTAGTATAATTCTTATGTAATTAAAAAGTTAATTTTGGAGAAAATGATGATGAATTATGACCTTGTTTACCTCTGTAAAACCGTATCATTTGGCAGTGCAATTACAAACGATGACAATAATTCATCGTATAAAATAGATGTAACAAACTTTCAATGCTGATTAGCAATAAAAATAGCAAAATATACATCAAGTATCTTATGTTTAACACACATGCAATCAAGTACACAAACAAACACGACAAACAAAAACAAAATATAGGAAATGAATATCACAACACATCAACAACGTCATACACAGCATAGAACCAGATGTTCATGTAAATGTAAATAAATAAATGAACAAATAAATAAATAAATAAATAAAAATGATATGATTAATGTAATTGTGCTACCATTTGCCTAGACATCTAACAGAGGTCCTCAGTCATAACAGAGACATTGACTTTATATGATTGACTAGTCATCACTTAAATGCTTAGTTATTTTTTGTTCAAGTACATTGCATTGTTACTATATCTATCCTTCATATGAATTTTCACCCTAAACTTCCAAAGCTCTTTTGCAAGTACATCCAACTGGCACTTCTTCAATGCCTTTGAAATATCTGTAGTATTTAGCATTGCTTGGACATTCCCATTTTATGACTGGTACATATGTGTTAACAGTGGCACACCGTCCTTTACCACGTGCACTACCTCCAACAGAATGACATCTATTACAAGAACACTTTGCTTTTGCCATTGTTCTAGGTTCCCTGTTTAAATCAACATCCATAACAACGTACCACGGACAAGTTGATGCTGACCCTAAATTCTTTTGTGTAACACGTCTGTGCCTTCTACATTTAGCTTGTCCATATAATCGACTTTGAAATTTGGTATATTTGTCCACCATAAAATAATCTCTATGTTGGTATCCTTTTGTGTTTTCACGATACTCTTTAATAACATTGTAGGTCCATCGACCTAAATAAAAGTCATGGAATATTTGTCTACGAAGAGCTGTCCTATTTTCCACAGAATGAACACAGTGTGCGTTAATGGAATAACTAAAATATATGTTAACGAGGAGCACTGTCAAAACCTGCAAAAAAGAGAAAAAGATAAGTAAAGAACAATATTGGGGTACTGTAGTTGAAATGTAATAAAATAGAGTTATTACGTCACATGGTTCATGATAAGAAGAAGACATTTGTAAATAATAAAAAAACAACAATACATTCACTAAAGATAAACGATTATACTAGTTACTAGAATAGATATATTTAATATTATATGATGCTATTAATAAATGCACCTACTTGGTGTAATGATAATCTATTCATCTTTTTCATTACTTTACAAAATATTGTTTAAGTTCTTTTATAGTGTTTTACTTGTTATGAGTACTTGAGCAATAAGTTCAACTTTAAAAGATAAATTTATATATATACCTTCAAGATAGTACGTTTAAATCCCAGATGCTAGGGGATTTTTTGTTCTTGTTATATTGAACACGTGAATGTCCGAAAAAAGCTCCTTACTCTTCTTCCGTTTAGTTCCGCTGTTCCGGTACTCGATTTCTTCCAATCACAATGCACACAACAGTTCGTTATCAACGTTTATGGATAGATTCGCTTATAACACATTTAATAGGGTAGAGAAATTTTGAACTAACCCTATCAATACACACATCAGATTTTTCTGTACCTCTTAATCGGTTCACGTGATTTCCTTTTCAGACTTAGTGTGTGTACATGATTGGCGCAGTGGATAAGAAGGGAATATTTCCATATCAAATCAATTTTAAAATCGACGATAAACATTAAATATGTCAGTTTACAGTTTAATGTTTACAAGGTCATTGCTTTGTAAATATACGCACGCAGTAGGAAGAAAGTAAATTGTTCAATAGCGAATACTCTTTTATCTTGTGCATATGTTGTTGATACGCCGTATTCTATGAATATCTAATAACATTTAAAACATTTCAGACTTAGCCAAACGTAATGCATATTTAACAACATTAGAGTTAAAAGGATTTATCTCTTTATCAAACCAGGTAACATGTACAGGTAGACTTCACGCCAGTGAAGTAGACTTTATATGGTTAAGCTATAAAAGAGATTCTAGTTGAACCAATTGATTGAAATAAAATCCTAAAAACTCGTGACTTTAAAAATGCCCAACCCGTACTTATAACTGTTTGTACAGAAATGCAAGAAAGTTATTATGAAATTTTAACAATTTAAACAAGAGCTGTCGGTAGGACAGCAACGCTCGACTATTCTTAGTGCTTGATAGTAAAAAAAATGCTTGATAGAGTTACCTCCTCCTGTTTACAGGTTGGGGTCATGATGGTGAACAAGTGTGCAAAGTTTCAAAGCCATATGTCAATGGACTTTGAAAATATTTGAACTATTACAAAAACTTTAACGTAAATTCTAAGTCGAAAAAGGGGCATAATTCTGTCAAAATGCTTGATAGAGTTACCTCCTCCTGTTTACAGGTTGGGGTCATGATGGTGAACAAGTGTGCAAAGTTTCAAAGCCATATGTCAATGGACTTTGAAAATATTTGAACTATTACAAAAACTTTAACGTAAATTCTAAGTCGAAAAAGGGGCATAATTCTGTCAAAATGCTTGATAGAGTTACCTCCTCCTGTTTACAGGTTGGGGTCATGATTTTGAACAAGTGTGCAAAGTTTCAAAGCCATATGTCAATGGACTTTGAAAATATTTGAACTATTACAAAAACTTTAACGTAAATTCTAAGTCGAAAAAGGGGCATAATTCTGTCAAAATGCTTGATAGAGTTACCTCCTCCTGTCTACAAGTCGGGGTCATGATGGTGAACAAGTGTGCAAAGTTTCAAAGCCATATGTCTATGGACTTTGAAAATATTTGAACTATTACAAAAACTTTAACATAAGTGGTTACGCCGACGCCGACGCCGACGCTCGGGTGACTGCAATAGCTCTACTTATTCTTATCGAATAGTCGAGCTAAAAAGTATGCGAACGTTGCATTCCTCAGATGATATTATCCCTTAAAGTGTTTTGCTAGACTATCCGTTAAGACTAAGGAGAGCTATCCTAGCCACCAGAGCGACGGCGTAACAACTTATGATTGCGTACCACTTCAAATATTTTCAAAGTCCATTGATATATGGCTTTGAAACTTTGCACACATTTTTACCATCATACCCCAACCTGTAGACAGGAGGAGGTAACTTTATCAAGAATTTTGACAGAATTATGTCCCTTTTTGACTTGACATTTACGTTAAAGTTTGCGTAACACCTCAGATATTTTCACATTCCATTGACATCTGGCTTTGAAACAAGTTATAAACAATTGAGCATAATAGGCCTCTCTCCAAGGCCTATAACTGTAACAGGGATTTGGAAAAAAAATTGGCCCTTTTGTGAATTTCCTTTTTTATTACATCTGACGGACCAAGTGGGAGACTCTATGATGGACAGTTCTTAAAGCCCTTTTGGACTGTATTGTCTTTATTTTGGTCTTTTGTGTTGCTTCATCGGGCCCTTGAAGATGATTTTCTTGCACTCTCTTACTTTAAGCCAATGAATACCTTTGTTATGGTCATTCGGTTTACTTTTATATATTTCTACATGATCATTTCTGTGTTTTACTTATTTCACCTTTTGTAACCATAACAACTGTTAGAATTTCCCTTGGCGGGAATTCATTTTATTTACAATGTCTCGTTTCAAAGGAACATGATGGGGCTAAGAGTGAGGTTTGGTGCACCATGAACCTGTTTAAACTCCACAGCAATGCTTATGCTGCTAACCGTTCAAAGGTGGTGTCCCCTGTGTTCCTCAGAAGTATGTCTTCGTTGTGTTATACTGTTTTGGTGACATTTTTGTTTGTGTCCCTTGTTGTTTTCTCGTCTACAAGTACCTTTTGCCCCTAGTTTTATTTCTCCCCCTTCCCTTCCTGAAATCTCGATGTACCCTTCCCCTGTGCCTTTTTACTTTGTGGGCCTATTATTAATCAATCAATTATTCGTTTTCTCTAACTTCCTTGTCGGTTACTTTTATTTCAATTTAAGTATCATTGAAGCGATTATCATGTCCGTGCTCTGCCTCGCACCCTGTCCTATTTTTGTTTGAGGTCCTCCTAGGATCATTGCCACTGGTCCCTGTTGCTGGGTCATGTGGAGGTTGTTTATCATATATTAGAAAATTTTACATTATCAAGGATCTTTTACTGTCAAACACTATGAATAGTCGAAAGTGCCATCCTTCCGACAACTCTTGTTATAATTAGTATTAACAAATGTTGTTCATTTCTAATTTACTGGCCAGAGATAAATTTAATGTTATGGGAAAGACGATTTGCTAAAAGTAAATAATCGAGAAGTACAACTCAAAATAAAACATAAGTGTTCAAATCCACGTCAGCGGAGCTACTTTTCAATCAATGGAAAGTAAAGCAGAACTAACTAGGAAGTTGGTAAGATATAATCAACAATTCATATGACTTTGAACTATTTTTGAATATTCTTAGCGTGTGGTATATAACATTAATAATATTACAGTTAATCAGGCGGAAGACATATCCCATGGGAAAGCAGGTCAGAGAAATATTGAAAAGGTAGTAGATAAAGCAGATAACATCACAAGAAAAACACAATGTGTGAGATTATATATAAGAGATATATGCCGAAAGCAAAAAAAGATCATTTGGAAGCAAACGGCTTGTTTGCTTACACACATGTTTATATATCAGCGTGTACTTCATCTTTAATTTTCTTCCTTAGTTTTGTTGGGTTGTAAATCATACCAATTATGTGATGGTCAAATAGCGACTTTCAAGCTTTTAAATGCTGTAAGAAGATCGCAATTGGAAACCATTACTGATAGAGCATGAAAATCCCGCTTGTTTGGTACTAAAACGTTTAACAGGTGATCAGATATAGACAATATGGATTTTCTCACGTGTTATATCTGAACCATTCACATTTAGATCCTATTTACCTTTTTGCAGAAGATGGGGCTATGGAGAAAATATGGATCAATCTTTTTATCATAAAGGCACACATGAAAATATTGATATTAATGAAAACACCTCTCTATTTTATTTGCTTGGTTCACCCTTACTTAAAACGCAAAATCAACTGAAATGGCTGTGATAATGATAATATTCTGATGAAAGGGAGTCATGATATAAATAATAAACGTAGCGGAAAACAAAGTAAGGGTTTCTTTCTTCCCCAGGACCGTGCCCCTGTTCACATGCCTTCAATTGCTCTATTGCCATGGTTGCCATCGATCGTGGAATTAAACTGATAGAGCATGTGCCTTATCTTTATCTATTACCTTGATTGTAAAACCGATACTTTCGATACTCTCTCGCAATTAGGTGAGGACGTCACAAATACAGTGATAACTCTCTGAAGGCCAATAATATGGCTTCTTTAAAAGTTGTCTTCAGGCCCCTTAACATCACCGGCAAAGATGCAAAGATCGTTGAAAAATAAAAGTCAAATCCCTGCATATGAGAATGAAAATTTCTAATCAGCCATCGAACACCAATCATTGTAAAAAGAGAACAAAGAAAAAAAATGATAGTCATATTCTATGTCGGAACTGTTAAGAATCTTATCATTTCAAATGATTCTGTATATGCTAGTTAAAGGAAGATACGTACTACAGACGTTTGGAACATTTACAAGTCAGTCTACATAAGAAAATATCTCCTCCATGAAACTTCGCTATGTGTACTTTGAATAAATAAATGAACTAAACACATTTTAATAAAATCAATTTACAACATTACTATGAACTCAACTTTATTGTACTAGTACTGATTTAAACAAGATGCCTTATCATTAAAACGTTTTAAACTATACATTTTTGTTTCTTTCAAAGATATATTTAATCATTCAATGTTCTCAAAGTACATCTTAAATACTAGTACTTGCTTCACTGTCCTTTTTTAAATGCGATTATTATTCAGAAATGAATACCGCTTAAACTGGTGCCATTGAACGTTAGAAAAGTTTCATTTTCATTTATTTCTAGTGAGACAACGTGTCCTATTTTCTAATATCTTTTTGTTTTCATTGCGCAAGGGGGATCTTCCTGTTTTTAAAATTTATCATATTTTAGTAATAGTGCAAAACTTGCAATAAGGATCTGGCTTGGTAAAAGGTTCAGTTCTTTAAATAGCTTATCTATGGAGCACATTTATTTTTCAGGATGTTCATGAAAAAATATAATACACGCAACACGTCAGATTGCACATGTCAAAATATTTAGTCTGTCAGACCTTACGTCAAACAGTGTTAATCAATAGAAACGCACGCTTACTATTTGCTTTACAATGTTACTATTTATAGCCCGTATAGAGTATTATCATTTAATTTATTTTTATAGTAACATATAAGCATGT